CCTCCAGCTCATCCAGGAGTTTAACTCCGAAAGATGTTGTCAATGGTATTAGACTCTGGCACATCCTTACGGTAAGAAAAAGCTGCCCAATACTTCATCATACGTCATCATTAACTCGGCTTATGAAACAGAACAGGGGGATTTATCACACCTCACTGAGAAATAGGTATTTTCCTTCTCTTCCGTTGTTCTCACAAATCCCTGAGAGTTGATGTCCTCTGCTGAAGGCCACAGCCTGCTTGCGGCCTAGTGTCTGCTAGTCAGCCTAACCTCGTATGCTGTGCTTGGCAAAGGCATACAACAGACTTAACAAGTAGATCTTGAGTGCTGGTGACAGGAGCGAGAGGAGCGAGAGCAGAGGCAGAGATGGTCCTGAGAGTGGCAGTAATAATGCTTAGGAACCCATCTGCATCTGGTGGCCTCCGTGGCCAGAGGAAAGACATTGTGGGACAGAAAGCTGAGCGCACAACACCTTCCAGCCAGCCTTCTCTGTAACGGCTACTTGTATTGACACGAGGCATGTAACTATCCAACAACATCCCATCCGCTTTTAACACTAAACGCCTGAATCCCTGTCCTGCATTAGAGAGAATGGCTTGGAGGTGGAGACAGCGAAAGGGGGGTCTGGGGCCACAAGGCCAACTCACTCACTTGCCAGTTGTGTGAGCCTGGGGAAATTGTCTCTCTTTCTGTGTACGTGTGTGCATATGTGTGCACACACCCTCCTTGGGCAGGTAAAGCCTGCGTTCAAGAAAGTAAGCCAAACTCATCAGTGAATTTAGTAAGTTAACTTTCCTAAACTCCAAGCCGAAGAGACAAACGTGATGAACGACTGTCAGCACGGAAGACCAATCAAGCACGTCTGACACATCTGCAAGTCTAACTTTACATCGCATGTTGTAATAGAAGAAAGAAACACAAGCAAGAAAGAAATGCACCGCAGAGCAAAAGCGCACGTCAGAGCCTGCCTTATCTCCACAGGCCACCTCAGCCCCTCCTGCCACAGGCTCCCCAAGGGCCATCTGCCTCGCAATCCTGCAACCAAGGGGAGCCCTGTAATGCGTCCTCTGTGATTCCAGAACGTGGACAAATAGAGGGGTTGCATAAGCATTTGTTGAATGGGCTAAAGAACATAGGAGAGAGTTGGAGAGATGGATCTTGAAGAAAACATGGCAGATTGTACTATCACTCTAGGCACAGGGATCCGATGTTCTCTTCTAGGCTCTGCAAACACTGCATGCATGTGGTGTACAGACATACTTGAAGGCAAACACTTATTTACATTTTATATATATGCATATATATGAGTTTTTATATATAATACATGAGTATATATATAATACAGATAAGCCTTTAAAAATATGAGATTGTGGCTATACTTTTCAGAGGTATTGACTGACCCTCAGAAGTCTCATCACTTCTTGCTTCCTGAACACCCTCCCAGTTCTTCAATATACTGAGACTGGTTTGTGTGCAGCAGCACAATCATAACGACTGTTTATAAATAAATTTGCCTCCACTATCTCTTTTAATCAACGCTGGTATTCTGTGGAGAATAATGAACTTTACCAGTTGTTGTGTTGGTGGTACAGAAAGGAAAAGGTGAAATCCACACCAATTAATGCACAGGGCAAAGACATTTTGAACTGAAAGGAATGTAGAAATTGACCCTGTCCATCTTCCCCAAGAGAAATTCATAATGTATCATTCTCTCATTATAAGCTCTATTCTTACGGCACTTTACTTGTAATAGTCTATCTTATTTTTCCCTATTCTTATAATAATATTAATTATAATAATAATCTTATTTTTATAATAACTTACTCTATCCCAATCTTTCTCTTTACAAAGCTTTAAACATTGCCATAAGCCATCAGTGGGAGAGAGGTATACTGCCGGCTGGTGACAGCTAGACCTGACCATACACCTGTCTGGTTAGAGCATAATTTATAAACTCCTCCAAGGGAAAGGAAAAAGAGATGTGGCATTCTCAGACAACACCCGCATCGTCTAGAAAAGATAAGACTTTTATGCTTAAATTCCTAAACAAATTCTATCTTGATCATCTTAAGTGTCAAGGATACATTCTGCATTCCAAAAATCAAAATACCTAATCCAAACAGATATTATCTTGTCTCAGTTTAGAAGCCAGAAAGGAGAACAGAAATGTTCCTCCCACCTCACACTCATTCAACCAACATGCCATGGGGGTTCTAACTTCACGCCAGGCACCAAGCCAGGCGTGAAGTTAGAGTACCAGGAGTAGCATGCAATTATTTAGGATTTGCAAGTTATCACTCTTTCCCTGAACCAAGAGCAATAAAACCTCTGCTTTAAACATTAATACAGGGCCTTCGCCTCAGCTGTCACCTCGGCTGTCACCTCTGAGAACATTCAAGAAATTAACTGCAACCTCTAAGATCAGAGAGCTCCCTGCATTCACCTTCTCATCTCAATCCCATTAGAAGCTGTTAAAAATAGTACACACACACACACACACACACACACACATACACACACACGCCATCTCTTTCTTCCTTCCTTTCGACTTACCCCAAATAAGAACAACAAAGTGATGATAACCAAATAAAGAACAATGGACAATACCTCCACACAGCTTTTCTTTCCAACATAACAAAAAAAAATGCAGAATACTTTCAAAGAGAAGAAAGGTGGGCACACACCACACCGTTACTCCCTTCAAGAGCAAGAACAGAGCAGTTCCTGAAACCCATTCAGTAAAGCCTGCAACCCAGCTTGGAATGAAAGAAACAGATTTATATTTTTTTTTGGAAGATAAGTAAGTAAAAGAACTTATGGATCGATTTACTTTACAAATAAGATCCCAGGCACAATCAAAGATATCGATCCTGTATTTGTCAGAAACTGGATTTTAAATAAACACTCCACAAAGATGATACATGAGCAAACAGGTCAGCCTGAAGCCAGGAAGAAGGGAGTGATATAGCTCGCCCTTGTCTCTGAAAGTTGAGGAGCATTAAAAAGCACAAGGAAGCTCCCCTCGTTGTGGGCATGTGTTTTGCTTCCCCTCCAGGCCATTTAACAGTGAAGGGCTTTCCTTGGTGTTTTCACAGCACGCCTAACACACTCATAAAACCTAAACTGTTTCCTCTAAGATTTGCTTTCTGCCCCTCTGGGTATCACCAATGACGAATGGGACCGTTTCACTGCGGGACCGTTTCACTGCATTTGGGAATTTTAGAAAGCAGAGTGAAAGAGACAGAACAATGACTTTGTCCTAAAGCCACCAAGGAGCTGGGGCATAGCAGGTAAAACAAACAGGTCAAGTCAAAAGCAGGACCCAGGGATTGTGACCTAAACTCTCAGCGTAACCTTATGCCCACAAATATTCAGTCACCCATCCTGAATCAAAGTCTCGGTGGAGGTTAACCTGTGTCATTTCTGATACTGTTTTCCCTCAGTTCTTTGGGTAGGCCTGGCACCTCAAAGACAGCGATGTGATGCAGTTCCAACACAGCCTCAGCAAACAGGGGAAAATAATGAGAACCCCTTCTCCGAATTCCTCTTGGAAGCACCACTGAGTTAGGTACCCAAAATTAGCTTCCAGCGGCACACGTGATGGATCCTATACTTTCTTCTTATCTGGAAATTTCGCTCCACAAACGGCTTTTATTGGGAAGATTACAAGAGATAGCCATAGCATTGTATGGGATAAGCTCAATCTATCATTTTCTTTTGAAAATAGTCTTCCGGACATATTTGAGAATCATCAACCTACAGCACACCTTGTACTTTAAAGAAGGTTCATAAACAGATAACCCACTTAAACTGGCTACAGCAAGGAGTAACACTCCTTTCTGACGAAGCTAGAAGTTGTTGCCATAAATATGTATGAAAACAGCAAAAGCAAATCTCAACTCAGAATCTTTGATTTCGGCTTCGTTCTCCAGCCCGTGCATGTACTGGTCTCCATTCTTGCCAGAAAGTTCATCAAGCTATGAAGCCTCAGTGGGAACATATATTCCTGCGTATCTAAACAAACCCTCATACCCAGGTAACATTACAAAGACAACCCTCTCCTTCTTGATCTGGAAAGCGCTCAAGTCTTTCTCCGTACAGCCTCAAGTGTAATTCCTAGAAGGCACTGGCAAGTCTCTGCCAGGCCAGTCTGCAGTGGAAAACCATGTGTCCTACAAGATGACAGGAGGGCCAAGGCTTCTAACCCTCTACTTCAGCTCTGCATGGCAATAGCGGTTCAGCCTCACGCCATCAACACAGTAATTGTATGGGATCGAACACTGCTCCTGTCAAAAGAGAATCTGCTTTGACCACAAGCAGGCAGCTCTGTGGAAAGACAATTTCTGGAACAAAAACAAGGCTTGCACAATTCTAGAAACACGGACAAGTGTTCCGTTCCTGCGCTGTGCTTAAAAAAAAACTTTTCCCACCTAAACTTCCCAGCACACGGCTGACTGAAACCGGGGTGCCAAGTCGTGCACAAAGCAAAGGCATGCACCACAGGCAATGCCTGTCCCTGCCCAATCCTGATCAGACCGGGTTGCAATGTGGTTTAGTCCGGTCTACTTTCTGGTAATGTGTTTTTAAAATCCCGCCTCGACCCAGGTCATTCCTTTAGAGATCTAATAACAACCAAATGACCGGACCTGCGGGGCACTTAGCGAGCCATTCTGCTTATGGCTCTTTAATAGCACCCGGAGTCCGGCTAAGGGGAGAGCGGAAAACTCCAGTTTCCCCGGAAAGAAAGTAATGCTCCGGGAGCGTGGAGAGGCGCGCGGAGCGTGGCCTCACTGCCCGCAGTCCCGCCGGTTCCCGCCGCGCCTTTACCTGTCAACCCGGCCTCCCCCGACGCCGCCCCTCAGAGCCAGCCCCGGGAGAAAGCAGCCCCAGGCATCCCATCCCAAAGAAAGAAAGCCAGCCGCAAGGCTGCTGCTCCAGGCGGGGGCCATGGGCCACCGCGAGATCCGAGAGGCGACACGCCACCCGCGCCCCGCACCTACCAGATAATCCATGTACAGAAACGCCTCAGTTATCCGGAGATCAGACATCCGGCAGCCTAAAGCATCCGGAATGGCTCCGAACCCGGAAAAAAAAAAAAAAAAAAAAAAAAAAAAACGGCAGCGTCTCGGGCTGCGAGAGAGCAGCTCCTGAAAAAGCCAGCAACAGCGAAAATCGCCGAGAGCAGCCGAGGAGCCGAAGATTACACCAAGGGAGCGGCGATTGGCCGGGTGGGCGGGCAGAAGGAAAGGAGCGCGCTCATTGGCCGAAGCGTCTATAAAAGGCAGGCCCCCGGCGGATGGCAGCAGTGAAGCGCGGGAGCCTGTAGGGTGCTGGTTCCTGTGTTGTGGGGGAGGGGCGGGCGAGCGGAAGCGCCGGCCCGCCAGACACTGAGAAAGGCTCTGCAGCCGGGCGAGCTTCCCGGGCCAGCAGGCGCCTGCAGACCCCGCGAAGTTCCCATCCTGAGGCTGTGTCCCCGCCCCACCCCTTCGTAGGAAACCCGCTCGGGGGCGTTGGGAGGCTTGGTAGCCACCGAAACTTACTTTCTCTCCCCTGAGCTCTTTCCTGTGGCCTTGAGGCACCAAGGACTTGCGGGTTAGAAGGGCGGACGCCCTCTAAACAGGCAAACTGGGGGGGCGGGGCGGGGGTGGGGGAGGGAAGCACGCAGAGACGCTCCCTGGCGTCTGCTAAGGCGGACAGTTTGAACGTGATCTTGCCGCTCTGCACCAGCGTTGTCCGGAGGCATTCTTAGAACCCTAGACAACCTCTGGAGAAGTCACGAGTAAGTTGTTCACCCCAAACACTCGGTTCTTTGCACACGTTTAAGTCCAGTAACATTGACCAATATCCAGTGTCCCTGAATAAAAACGAACAGAGGGGTTGTGAATGCCCTTTAAAGGACCCAAGTAATACTACTTGTGACTCTTTATGACTCTTACTTTAAGAAGGAAAATACGTCTAAGAGCAGATGCGCTTGAGACGTGTATGTTTCCCAGTAAATAACTTGAAACTGGGCAAAACCAGAGTTAAACAAGAATTTGCTGGATTTTTTTTTAATCCTTCTCCAAGATTCAGGCTATAAAGGGCAAAAATGAGACAAGATAAGCATGCCCTTTGGAGTTGAGTATGGCGAGAAAATATAACTCATTACGAAAATGAATATAAAAAGTGTGTCATCAGTTTTGTGCCAGCAATTCCATTTCTAGAAATTCATGGGCTAAAAGTTGTGGCCAGTGTTATAAGCGAACATTTGCTGCAGTGTTTAGAATAGAATCTCGGTGGGTGTGGTGGCGCACACCTTTAATCCCAGCACTGAGGAGGCAGGGGCAGGCAGATCCCTGAGTTCCAGGACACCTACCCTACAGAGTACGTTCCAGGACTCCTAGGGCTACACAGAGAAACCCTGTCTCCCTCTCCCTCTCCCCCTCTCCCTCTCCCCCTCCCCCTCTTCCTCTCTCTCTCTCACACACACACACAATCATATGATTTGTTAACATGACACAATCACACAATACAACTTTATATAGCTGCAAAACATGAAGTTTCGTGATATGGTGACATTTATAGTGAGGTCATATTCTTCACTAAAATATCACATGTCGAAGAAGTATTCTAGATGACAGAATTTGAAAGACCAGTTGCAAAAGTACAACTCTTTATTTCCTGCCAGACACAACTATCCTTTAGGGCTGAAATGACTGAAGCTTCCTTCTATCACCCCCACCACCCACAACCTCTTAAGAATAAAGGAGAGAGGAATTGATGTCCCCTATGTTGGTAAATAGGGCTTACATTGCTAATCACATGTCAACTGACATCTTTAGTCCAAATGTTACGGGGCGGGGTGTTACTCCAGCCCCACCATTTAACACTATATTGTGTGTCCTCAAGTAACAGATCTCCTGGCAAGCTTATCTCAAGGCAGGGAAAATATTTCTGTTATAGAAAATCATAGAATTCATCCTAAGTATACGCATAAGCAGGAAGGGTGTGTAGCCCCTTCTGCTCCCGGTTCCTAAGCCACGTGACTAAAAACACTATCTAATCTCTGAACCTGTTTCCTCAGATACAAAATGGGAATTCCTACAGGCCGAGGATTTTCAGGGTAATTAGAGGATTTAATGTATACACACTTCTGCAGGCCTTGCCTTTATTGATCCAATTTCCAAGGCAGATGTGTGTAAGTAGTAACTTCTTGAGAGGAGAGGGTGCTTTGTTTTGCTTTGCTTTGTTCTGTTTTCAATCTACTCAGGGGCTAGAGAGTCTCAGTTTCGTTAAGTCACTAGATCCAATATTTTTTCTTGGCGTTCAGCATTCTGACTGAGTAGTCACATGTAAGTTTATAAAGATTTTTGACCTGGATTCTGAAGGCGAAAGAGTCCCATAAGCCTAATCTTTTCATAGCTGGTTGAAACTAAAGGTATCAAAAGCCTTTCAAAGTTTAGCCAAAGTAATTCAGTCAAGGAACAATTTGTTTTTTCTTATTTTTGTTTTCTTTCTCTCTGTGAAGAAGCATATCCCAAATGAGATAAAGAGCTTGAATTAGAAGAGACAAGTTTCTGTCCATGTCTTAGCGACTATGTGAAGTCACAAGAGATCTGGTGATATCTATGCAGAAAATGAACACTTGGAAGCAGTTGGCTTCTGCCTTTCCTTTAGCAGCTAAAGCGGAAAAGATCATCAGACTAAATAGTAGTTTTTGCTGCTGCTAGGAATCAGAATCAATAAATGGACCCAACGCAGAGACATGGAAGAATCTGTTTACAGAAAAATTCGCAACTGTATCCTGATAGTACTTTAATCTACTGTATGATTGTCATCGATGAAAACTTCATGTTCAGTCTCATGTATCTTTCAAATCCTGTTTTGCATTTTGGAAAAAACCTTGCCAAAAAAAACTCCATATGGAGCATAATTTTTCAATTAGGTGTCTTCTGAGATGGTAATATAGTTCCACAGAATAGAGTAACTTCATTCTGATGGTTTGAGCACAAGCCACTACATAAAGCAGTGGTTGTAGCTGATGAGGTGGTCAAGTAGTAAGGTCCTTTAGTCACATCTTGGAAATAATGCTGAACCAGCCCTGCATCTCTGGAAATTGATCATGGTGGATGATTTTTTTTGATGTGTTCTTGCATATGATATGCCAGTATTTTATAGAGTATTTTTGCATCAATGTTCATGAGGGAGATTGGTCTGTAATTCTCTTTCTTGGTTGAGTCTTTATGTGGTTTTGGTATCAGGGTAACTGTAGCCTCATAGAAAGAGTCTGGCAATGTTCCTTCTGTTTCTATTACGTGGAGTAATTTGAGGAATATAGGTGTTAGCTTTTCTTGGGAGTTCTGGTGGAATTCTGTGCTAAAACCATCAAGCCCTAGGCAGAAATTGGTTGGGAGGATTTTGATGACAGCTTCTATTTCCTTGCAAGTTATAGGTCTATTTAAATTGTCCACCTGGTCTTGATTAAATTTTGATATGTGGTACCTATCCATAAAATTGTACTTTTCTTTTACATTTTCCAATTTTGTGGAGTACAGGTTTTGTAATATGACCTAATGATTCTCTGGATTTCCTCAATGTCTGTTATGTCCCCCTTTTCATTTCTGATTTTGTTAATTTAAATGTTCTCTCTCTGTCTTTTGGTTAGTTTGGATAAAGGTTTGTCTATCTTGTTGATTTTCTCAAAGAACCAGCTCTTTTGTTTTATTGACTCTTTGTATCATTTTCTTTGTTTCTATTTTATTGATTTTAGCCCTCAATTTGATTATTTCCTGTCATCTATTCCTCCTGAGTGAAGTCTGCTTCTTTTTGTTCTAGAGCTTTCAGGCATGCTCTTAAGTCGCTAGAATGAGATTTCTTCACTTTCTTTATGTAGGCACTTAGTGCTATGAACTTTCCTTATAGCACTGATTTCACAGTGTCCCGTAGGTTTGGGTATGTTGTGCCTTCATTTTTGTTGAATTCTGGGAAGTCTTTAATTTATTTCTTTATGTCTTCCTTGACCCGGGAGTGGTTTAATTGAGCACTGTTCAATTTCCATGAGTTTGTAGGTTTTCTGCAATTAGTGGTGCTATTGAATTCTAACTTTAAACCATGGTGATCCAATAAGATACAGGAGGTTATTCCAATTTTTTGTATCTGTTGAGTTTGCTTTGTTATTGAGAATGTGGTCAATTTTAGAGAAGATTTCATGAGGTGCTGAGAAGAAGGTATATTCTTTTGTGTTTGGGTGAAATGTCCTTTAGATGGCTGTTAAGTCCATTTGAGTCATGACATCTGTTAGTTCTCTTATTTCTCTGTTAAGTTTCTGTCTGGTTGATTTGTCCATTGGAGAGAATAGGGTGTTGAAATCTCCTACTATTAGTGTGTGGTGTTTGATGTGTGATTTAAACTTTAGTAATATTTCTTTTACATGTGTAGGTGCTCTTGTATTTGGGGCATAGATGTTCAGGATTGAAACTTCATCTTACTGGATTTTTTCTGTGATGAGTATGAAGTGTCCTTCTCCATCTCTTCTGATAGACTTTAGTTTGAAGTCTATTTTGTTAGATATTAGGAGAGTTACACATGCTTGTTTTTTGGGTCCATTTGATTGAAAAATCTTTTCCCATCCTTTTACTCTGAGGTGATGTCTGTCTTTGAGGTTGATGTGTGTTTCTTGTATACAGCAGAAGGATGGATCCTGCTTATATATCCATTCTGTTAGCCTGTATCTTTTTATAGGTGAATTGAGTCCATTGACATTAAGAAAATAAAACAATTCTGAGATACCATCTTACACCTGTCAGAATGGCTAAGATCAAAAACACCAATAATAGCTTATGCTGAACAGAATGCAGAGTAAGGGGAACACTCCTCCATTGCTGATGGGAATGCAAGCTTGTGTAACCACATCAGTATGGCGGTTTCTCAGAAAATTGGGAATCCACCTACCGCAAGACCCAGCAATACCACCCTTGGACATATACCCAAAGGACGCTCAACCATACTACAAGGACTTTTTTTTGTGTTGTTAACTATATTTATAGCAGCATTATTTGTAATAGCTAGAACCTGGAAACAACCTCGATATCCCTCAACAGAAGAATGGATAAAGAAGATGTGGCACATTTACACAATGGAGTACTTTCTATTCAGCAGAAAAAA